CATATTTTCTATGTGTTTTTATTAGGGTGTTCAGTTAGTGTTTTCAAAAGTCGGCCGGGTCGCCGTTGGGGTCCTCGTACAGAGCACTCCTGATGAAGGCGTGGATCTTGTCGTGCGCGCTTGTGATGGCGTCCGTGTCGTACATCGCGTTGGGGGCATCCATATCTGCGCAATGAGAGCCGCCTGGAATGGGAAAGGAACCCCCATTTTCATTACTAAAACAATAATCACTACACTGTAAATCCGGGGTGTCCAGCAACTGTGCGACTTAAGGTGCCCGACCCTAAAATCTGTGCGCCTAAAGTCGCACAGCTGCTGGACACCTTGTAGTTTGGCGCCCTTTCCCTGCAGGGGAGCCCAAGCAGGAGGTGTCCAACAACAGGAAACCCTACCCTACCCTAGGCTTGGCCTGGACCCTTGTGCAGGGAAAAGGGTGCCAAACCAAAAGGTGTCCAGCACCTGTGCGACTTAAGTCGCACAGGTTTTAGGGTCGGGCACGTTCATTCGCACAGTTGCTGGACACCCCGGATTAACAGTGTACTCAGAAGTACAGCCAATGGACCTCCTGTAACACTCACCGTCCACCAAGACGGCTGGGGCGAGGGAGCTGACGTCGCTCAGGATGCCCAGGGCGTGCCAGGGGTCAATGTTGCCGTTGGCGAAGATGACGTTGGTGACGTCCGGCTTCCTGTCGCCGAACTCCAAGTTGCTGCGGTCCACGGCCGCGGTCACGACGCTCTCGTCGTAGCTGCAGAGAGCGGAGCATCGGAGTTATCTTTACCTCCAACTCTTGATCAAGGCGAAGTGTCGGTACGTACGCGTCTCCGAATAGATCTTTGCACAGCTGATAAGAGAAGTCCACGGCGTTGTACAGCGCGGGGAAGGGGACGTTTTTGCCGGAGAAGGTCTGGAAGTAGCCGAACTCGGTGCATGTCTGATAAGTCCACTGCCTCACTGCGGTAGATCACACAGTAGGGGGGAGATTTGTCGAGAAGTGTCGAACCTATAGTAATAATTTCACTCAAAAAACTACAGATGATACTAACTGGCATCGTACTCGCCGTCGACTAACTGGTACGCCTCTTGCTTGTAGCTGTCGACCAGGCTCTTGTAAGAGAAGTCGTAGAGCTGTGTGGTCCCCTTGCTGCGGCCCAGGATGAGCGTCGACAGTTTCTCCATGGCCTCGTCGGGCGAGATGTTGTCGCCCTGCATGAAGCTGCAGATGTACTTGATGTTGTCCGCTGAGTTGGGCGCCGAGTCCCGGTTGTACTGGACCGCCCCGGCGAACGGGTTGGAGAGCGTCTGGAAGAAGTTGTCCAGATCCGACTTACTCTTGAGCTCGCTGGCGACCCTGCGCAGATAACACAAGTCACATGGTCTTTGAAGTAATAGAGACCGTGAGGGTGGCGAGGAAGAAAAGGGGTAGGTTCGTTCGACTTACTGGAAGGTCTTCTTGACCTGCTCGTAACCGTCGGTCGTCTTGAGCAGCTGTACGATTCTGTCGGTGGCCTTCTTCACGTTGTCGTCACACCACTGCCCGGCCACCCTGGCGAGGGAGCGGGACACCACCTCCATGTACTCTGCAGGGGAAACATCGAGTTGGAAGGAAGACCGCAACTGGTGCTAACCCACAGTCCGCGTGACCTGCTGCTACTGACCGACGTAATCAGCCTCGGCGTGCACGGGCGCACTGGAGGAGACGGCAGCGTGGATCAGGTGCGGGTACTTGAGTCGCGCCCACGCGGCCAGGTTGCCGGGGTAGGAGCCGCCGAACACGGCCACCTTCTGGCCCTCCTTCAGGTCGCCCTTCTGGATCAGGTACTCGATGAAGTACGCCAGGTCAGCCAAGGCCTGGTCGGCGGACAGGTACTGGAGGTTCGCCGAGCTTAGATCCCTGTGCACACCGACGACGAAGTGCGTGAGGGGGGAAAGGGAAAGAGGGACGGAGACGGAGAGAGATAGAGAGAAAGTAAGGGAGGGGGTTGCTTACGGAGTGGGGTGGCTGTAGCCGTAGTAGCGATGCTCCAGGTCAAAGAGCTTGGCCTTGTAGATGCGGGCGAGGTACGTCATGTAGAGCGCGCCGTCGGCGAGCGATTGCGCAGCCTCTTGACCCTCGCCGCCGATGTAGATGAAGGCAGGACCGCCCTCCTCGTACAGGTCGTCGCGGGCGAAGTACCTCTGCGCAGAAACGTTCGTGATCACGGTCACGGTGACATCATATAACGCCAACGCCAACATGGAGTCACTGATAACTCGACCACTGACTGTTACGGTGGGAGGGGGCACAATCACCTGCTTCCAGACGCGCTTGTCGATGGGGTTGAAGTGGTCCAGGACCTGCTCCTCGAAGTAGAGGGTCTCCACCTGGTGCACGTTGCTGAGGACGTTGGCGGGCGGCGGCGGGGGCACGTAGCGCAGGCGGCCATGTCGGAGGCGGAGGCCGGGGAAAAGGGGCGCGTCCGTGGCCCCGTTCGCGTCCTGCCCCCCCGCGGGGACGGATGCCTGCTGGGAGGGCGCCGGCGCCAGGGCCAGGGCCAGGGCCAGCAGCGCTGCCTGCACGGCGAGGATCATCTTGGGGGCGGAGCGGACGGGCTGGGCAGGGCTGCCGGCGTGGGCGCACAGAGCAAGCAGGTGAGCGAGGCTCCCGAGCGACACGGTGACGACGGTCGTGCTGTCCGGGCTTTGCAGTCGTAAACCAATAAATCAGACCTCTCGGGCTATGATACCCTTTGATCACCGACTAGCCCGCGTTCAAATCCCCACAGGCTCGGGCAGAGCTGCCTTGATATAGGATCGGGGCGGCTAGGAATGTGTCATTTCCCGTCCTTTGGTCTTTTCAAACATAAAATTAGTCATTTGATAAGTCCTCCAGCGCTTCTGGGCGATGAAACATCGTCCCGATTTTGAGGTTACGGCGTAATTTCCATGACACAATCTGTATTGTGCGTACACGCATATCGTAATGAGACACGCGCGTGGGGAAGAATGAGACAGCCAAAAACCCAGCAAACATCATAGGGAACCATGTAGGGCAAAAACGAGACGGCGCCACTTCATTTTCTGTCTCTTCTCTCCCCCCTCCTCCGCACATTGGCTTCTCATGATGTAGTCAGTGGGTGTTCCTCAACATTGAGGTGTCTCACTCTTCCCCGTCCTCACGATCAACACCAATAAATCATTGTCCCTCACCTGCTGCTCTCTGAGGATCCCCCTGCGGCCAGGGCTGCGTCAGACTGGCGGCCACGCGAATCACGGTATCCTGACAGCGGCTTAGCGCATTATCGGCCCGCTTAATGCGAATCAAATAAATACCTAGTACTCGTGGCGGCGGGGTAGTCGGTGTCGTAGGCGAGATTCGCCCCCCGATAAGGGACCCAATCATCTGGGAGAGAAGGGCCAGTGCGAAACCTCGCTACCGTAGAGGCTCGGGGAAGCCGTCGTACAGGGCCCCTTCGCGCACAGGGCCTCAGCGCCACGCGGACCAGGGGTCTCCTCCAGGATTGTCGTTTCCTTCAGATGCGAATCCCAAATCAAATACTCGCCTCCTTTTTAATCGTCTTGTCGTGCGTGTTCTATACTCCATGTTCCCACCCACATAGGGGTCTGTCCGCGAGGAATGAGCTAGGTTGTTCCCCGCGTGTTCAGTTCCCCATCCCGAAGATGTATTCTGCCAACGCCTGACGCCTCCGCGCCTCTCGAGTGTGTCGTCACCGCACCGCCCTTGTAGCACATATCGTTCTTAGAACGTTAAGAGAACCTTCAGAGAACCAAAAGAACGTTCTCAGAACGTTGTCTAAATGTGTGGTGCTACAAGGGCGACTGCATATCGTGTCTGACGTCTTCCTGGCGCGTGGGTTTATATAAGAAAGGAGCAACGATAACGTTTTATTGTTTTATTGCCCTAAAAGGGTTGCGCGGACGCGCCCCCTCCGCGCCGACGGCTCAGGGCGACAGGGTGGGGCTGTCGCCGTTGGTGCCCTCGTACAGGGCGTTCGTGACGAACTGCTTGATCTTGTCGCGCGCCGCGCGGAGCTCGGCCGAGTCGCCGGCGTCGTTGGCGTACATGTCGTAGCAGTGGGAGGTGCCTGTGGTCAGGAGGCATTAACAGTGCTGAGCGAACGGAGTGGGAGTTATGGTAAAGATGTAAGGGGCTGTTCCAATACTAAGTTGCTTTGTTGTTGTTTTTTTCGGGGGGGGGGGGGGTTAAAAGGATCCGAAAGGATCAGGACCATCATTGGCGCCCGATGGATATTTGTTGAGCCCCAGGGTAAAAATACCGTCGGGTCTCTCTTGGGCTTCTATGATGCCCTTGATCCTTTTGGAATTCCATAATACCCCCCCCCCCTTAAAGTCACGTAGTATTAGAGTGACCCGTAAAGTAAAGACACATTCTGTGGGTAACGTACTGGAGATGAGGACGGCAGGCGACTTGTCGTTCACGTCTTCGAGGACGCTGAGTGCGTGCCAGGGGTCGATCTTGCCGTTGACGAACATGACGTTCTCCACGTCGGGGTTCCAGGAGCCGAACACCGTGTTGGTGCGCTCGACGCCCTTCTTAACCATGGCGTCGTTGTAGCTGCGAGTGAAGGGGGAGCATGAGAGCGCGGGTCGGGTTCCGCAGGAAAATGGGGACGGAGAGGGAACTCACTTCTCCCCGAAAGCATCCTTGCACTGCTGAACGAAGTAGGGGACGTCGAAGTACCCCTTCGGGAACACGGTGTCTCCGTCCGCGGTCTGGAAGTACCCGAACATGGCGCACGTCATGTACACCCACTGGCGGCCTGTCAAAGGAGGAAAGGATTTAAAAAAGGATTTAATTTATTGAACAATCGTCAAAATTGGGTAGGCTGGAACGTAAAATACCAGCTCGAACAACCAACTTACTTCCGTCTGAGTAGGAGACGTCGCTCAGGTACTTGGTGTTGGTCTTGTAGGACCAGTCGATGCAGCCGAAGATCCAGCCCTGCGACGCGTAGAACACGTTGCCCAGGGCCGTCACGGCCTCGTCCTCCGTCAAGTCGCCGGCCATGTACTGGCACTGCGCCTTCAGGCTGTACTGGGAGTTGCCGTCGCGGTTGTACTGCGAGGCGCCGGCGAAGGGGTTGGCGATGATCTCGTAGAATATGTCCATGTCCAGCTTGTTGGCCGTGTTTGGGGGGTCGCACATGCTGCATCCGGGAAGACAGGGAGAGTTGGAATTTTACACAGATAATTTTAACACGCGAACTGTTTCTTCTTTCTTTTTTTTTTTTTTTGGGGGGGGGGGGGGGGTGGATTCCATCCACACCTCACTTACTAGAACGTGTTTTGAATCGTGGTCAGCCCGTCCGTGGTGAGCAACAGTTTCTTGATGCGGTCGAAGCCCTTCTTCACGTTGTCGGCGCACTCGTTCCCGGCGATCGTCCGGATGGACTGGGAGACCACCTCCATGTACTCCTTGAAGTCCTCCTCGGCGTGCACGGGCGCGCTGGAGGCCACGGCGGCGTGCACCAGGTGCGGGTACTTGAGTCGCGCCCACGCGGCCAGGTTGCCGGGGTAGGAGCCGCCGAACACGGCCAACTTCTGGCCCTGCTTCATCTCGCCCTTGGCGATCAGGTACTCGATGAAGTAGGCGAGGTCGGCGAGCGCCTGGTCGGATGACAGGAACTTAAGGTTCTCCGAACTGATGTCCCTGCAGAAGTGTGGCCGGTCAGCAAAGGCGGTGAGAGAACGGTTTGAGATATACTCTCTCTGCTAGTTTCGTCGCGAGTTACGTTGACTTACTTTGTGGGCTTGCTCTTGCCGAAGAAACGATGTTCCAGAACGTACATCCTGGCCTTGAACAGCTGCGCCAGCTCGTACATGTAGCTGCCGCCCGGCGCGATCCAGCCAGATTGAGCCTCAGACTCGCCCTCGATGAAGAGGAAAACGGGGCCGTCCTCTTCGTACAGGGCGTCGTTGGAGAAGTAGCGCTAAGGATAACGAAACGGTTACGGCCCGCGGAACAAAACTCGGGACACTTGGTTGCAAAAGGATAATTGAGCGCAAGGAAAATCGTATACCTGTTGCCAGGTGGCCGCGTTCGAGATGTCGAAGTGGTCGAGGAGCTGGTCGAACCACTCCGTCTTGACGGCCCGCAGGGCGTTGGGGTGCACGGGCGGCGGCGGCCGGCGGTGCCTGTCGTGCCTGGAGAACTTGAGCGGCTGCGAGGTGTTGTGGCGGGTCACGCCGGGCAGCACGTGGGCGTGGCCGGCATGGCGGCTGGCCGGCACGGAGGCGAGCTCCACCTGGGCCAGGGCTACGCACAGCACCACGAGGACACCCAGCACGCGCATGGCTGGTCTGCAGCACCACAAAACACCAGTTCGAAAAAAAGAAGACCAAAAGAAAAAATAATCGTGCTTAACAAAACAAGATAGTTTTGTTCAAACAGAACAACTGTCGTCGTTGTGCTGACCCACTATCCAATCCACACTCACCTCAGTCAGTGCCGGTACAGCAAGACTGACGGGTCCCTCAGCCGCACGGCGCCGCCCTAGTCCTACGCGTGACATTTCTTCCCTAGTTTATCACCGGAACTAATCCCTGCGGATCAAGATGGGGCACAACAGCGGGCTGGGATCGGGATTGGGATCGGGATTGGGATCGCGATTGGGCGCGACTGGCTCCCGTGCTCGCGAGATAAGCCCTCCACCGGCCTGCGCGCCATTCCCTGGGATTAGCCCGTGGTTCAGATTACGTCTGTGTCCTGTAGTGCTACTGTGCGGGGTGGAGTGGGGCGAGGGGTCCTTTATTATGAATACCAGTGTGCACCGATTTTATTGTTTTTTTCTTTATTTTTATTTTTTATTTTCACTTGAATTTTCTGATTTTTCTGTTTCTTTCTGATTTCGATTTCTGATTTTTTTCGTGGGTGTACGGAGTACACGCTTTTTAATGAGTTAAGTACCTCTCGGAGTGGGATATAATGAATGACACTGCAACGGGGAGATGAGTTGTGCTTTTATTGGTGTTTCATCGTTGTTGTTTGTGTTTCTGTTGTGTTGCAATTCCCGTTGGAGGATCAGGCGGTGGGTTCACTGAGCTGCCAGAGCATCAGTGTGGCCCTCGGCGCCCTGGCTGCTCCGGCGGCAGCTGCCGCAGCTGGTGCTCCAGCAGGTGTTGCAGGTGCTGCGCCGGCTGCTGGGGTAGCTGTTGGGGTAGCTGCCGTTGAAGGACCAGCTGCAACGACGCTGGCCTCCAGGAGCAGGCGGCCGAAACACGGGTGGTTCACATGGAAGGAGGGGTCCAGGGAGATCCTGTTCGCGAGGGCGAGGCCTGGAAGAACGGAAAAAACGCTCAATGGACACTGGTGGATACACGGCTTGTTCCGGTTTCTTATGCGGTGGTATGGAAGCATGCGTGGGGGCCAAGCTTTGAGAGAGAAAGGTAGAAAGTGTGTGCGCGCAGAAGGAAGAGATAGAGAGAATGTGACAACTCTATTTTAAATTGACTACGCAAAATAACCTTTATTGATCACATCTACTTCTACGTAAGAAATTACAAAAATCCACAGTCTTTGCATTTTATGAGAAATTGTTGACTTTGTTTTTCAGTCGGTGGCGGCGGGCCGGGCAAGCTGAAAGGCCATGAGGGTGGCACCGGGCCCCGACAGGGACGACGAGACGACCAGCCGGCCCAGGAACGGGTGCTCGGCGTGGAACCTCTGGGTGCGAGGCCCGCCGAGGCTGAGCTTCTTCTTGAAGACGAAGGCTGGAAAAGAGGCGGGCAGGCGTTAGGCGATCTTCTGTCGGCTCTCCAGGGGATTTGGAAAGGTTCGGGGTGGGGGGTGGGGGCAATGGGGATGCCCTAAAAGCCTAAAATGACCACCAACCACCTTGTCGCAGCCCGCTGCCATGCACACTAAATGTCATTGTGCGACCTCGACGCATCAGCATAGCACACCGACCCGGGGCACTGTCCTGTAAGTACCTGGGGGAGGCGAAACCGCCACTACGACGGCTGTGGGCTACTCAGGTGGCCGACGAGGAGGGTGGCGGTGGATTTGGCGTCGAGCGTGCCGCCACCAGCGGCTCTCACCACCAGCCTGACGATGAGGGGGTGGTTCGCGTTCACCGTTTCTATGGGCTCCATGTCAAGGGAGATGAGCAGCCCCACCATTGCTGGAAACAGTCGTACACTTTAGAACAGTGCTGCCAGTGCTCGAAGGACTGGTGCGAATAGACTGTTTCTCGGTGGTGCACGCGCTGTCCAACCTGAAGATGGTACGCCGTCACTTGCCACGTTGGACTGGGTGGATCGGAGGGAGAAATCATCAAATAATCTATGGTGTGGATTTTAGTAACATTTATTTCCAAAGAAAAGAAATGGGCGAGGACGTAGAACACCCGGGAAACAACCTATCAACTAAATATTTTGTACAAACAGCGAGGCACGCGAAATGAAAATCGCGATCAGAGAGATCGAGATGGGAGGGGAGAGCAGGCAGAGAGGCAGAGAGGCAGAGAGGCAGAGGCAGAGAGAGAGAGAGAGAGAGAGAGAGAGAGAGAGAGAGAGAGAGAGAGACCCGCAGGGAGATAAGCGGCGGTCGAGGAACGCGATGACGTCATCGACTAACGTCGAACCGTTTCGACACGTCGTTCACTCCGACTGGGGGGTGTGGGCCGTCAGGACCGGGGGTCGGCGACCTTGGCTACGGCTATCGCTAGGCCGGCGCCGAGGGCGGCGCTGGAGTTGCGGTGGCGCAGCACGCCGAGGAAGGGCCAGCGGACATCGAAATCTTCTGGGTAAACCTCGTGCTGGACGAGAGCCATCATGAGGACGTGGGCTCCTGCAGGAGCACAAGTGCATGTCACTCACTCTCACTCTACTACACTGTTCGGAAGTAAATAGAGCATTACTTTTGCGATAAAATGGATTATCTGCCGCTGTCGATGTTTGATAAAACTCTGCACAGTCATTTGTGGCTTCAGTGATTTGTTCTCTACACTGTGTAATTAATTCAATTGTACGATTGTTCAATGGTTCACTTGGCCTTTCCTCTTGCTAGTAGATTTTTAAGGAGATCGATAGTACGTGCGTACGTGCACAATCAAGGGAAGAATTCTAGTCAGAACGACGAAATTTATTGGCTGACACAGTGTTATTTACAACTGCAAAGTCCATATTTTATTTTTCTTAAAAATATCACGTTCTAGATTCAAACTAGGCTGGTGACGGGGAGCTGACGCTGCCGATGAATAAGGTAACTGGTCGCGAGTGCAATCGGAGTGCGAACGGGTGGTCGGCCGCGAAGACGAGCGGCGGCCGCGCTATGGGGGCGGAGAAGGCGACCATGGCGAAGCCTGCAAGAAGAGAAAGGGCGCGGTAACATCAACCGCCTGACTGTGCAAAGTTTGATCGAAATCGACAGAGCGCAGTGAATTTGCGGAAAGATGCAATTAAGGATCGTCCAGAAAGCACGTCCGATTTTCTAAGATTTACGCGGCAAATCACGGGAGCAGCTCAGCGCCTGCGAGTCTCGGGTTAGGCCAGCCCGCGGTACACGCATGCAATGCATACATGCTATTGCCTACCTACTAGGCGCTACGAGAGCTCGCAGAACCTGAACTTACGGCGAATGACGAATTCACTTCCTGGATGATCCCTAAGCTCCCCGCTGTAGCGTGATCTGAGAGCTTCCCGGATGGTTCGACTTCTAAAGACAATCTCGGATAGGCTACTGTCCCCAAAACTGTTGTGTTTCGAATGCAAAAACAACGTAATCACGACAATAACATTTTGGGGACAGCTATTAAGATTGGCCGTGAAAGTCAAACAATCCAGGGAGGTTCTCTAATCACCCTCCTGGAAACTCGCACCACCCGCACCTACTCGTGCATGCTGCAATCTACAAGCAACCACTCTGTCGCGTCCCTTTAAAGGAAGTATCTTTAACGTAAAGGGAAACTGAAAACACCCACAAAACTGCTCGAAAAGTGTACTTTTGACGTCGGTACCAGGTCAAAGAGTAGCTTGCGACGAGTTCGTGTCACTGGGCCGCTGAAGCGCCGCCTCCACGCTTACCCAACCAAACGAGCCCAAAGCAGCGTGCAGGCCCGTGATCACCATGCTGGCCATTGCGTCATGTGCCCCGCCGTGGATCACCAGAACGGTCTTAGTTGCTCTTGAATTTCCATTTGTTGTCGCTCTCGGTCCATGCGTTCGTGCGTCATGCTCAAAATGTCACGCGTCCCGCGCATGGCAAAGAAGGTGATAATGGGAGGACAAAGCGATTATGAGGAACCGGATGGGCCCGCTCGACGAGCAGTCGGTGAAGAAAGAGATGGCGCGTGACCAATTTAAGGGCGTAGGGGTGGTCTGCACTGAACACCGGGACGGGGCGGGGCGCCCTCAAGCACCTGCCCACCTGCCCACCATGAGAACGCCGGAAAACGAAAGAAAGAAACACATCTGGATGAAGTGAGGGTGGCATTAAAAGAAGAGAATTACAAAGTTTGTGCTTTTATTTAGTCAGAGGTGTAGATGATATTCTCGACGTTCCAGAAAAATTGAACGCGTAATAAAAACGCAAAGTAACAAATAAATGTATTTTAAGACAACATAAAATGATCACATTGCAGTCAGGCATGTTCTTGGCGATATACAGCAATGAATAACCAAAACTCAGATCTTTTCAACACGCACGCTGCACGCCCACATTGTTAAAACAAGAAGAGCATCAGGGCATCAAACATGTTTGACACATTAGGAGAAACCTCGTTCTTTACCCAAGTTTGGTCTGGTGTGATTATGAAATGAAAACAGAAAGATCATTGTTGTTTATGATCGCTCTTCAAAACTTTTCGCGCCGACGCAGTTTTAGCTTTTCTCAATAGATGGCGCTGTTCGCGCATGCGCTTGATTGTTTTTTTCGTGTTAAAAGAATTTCATTTGA